TTGTCAATTAAATGAATAGATTTTTTTACCATTGGGTTTGGAATTTATTCCAATTACAAAATAAAAAAATTAAAAAAAAGATGGGAAGTAGATTTCCACCAAAACCAAAAGGAAAACAAATTCCTTTAAAACTTGGAAAAGGGGAGCGTGGAGGGGCAGCCAAGAAAATGAATTCCTAGGAAAATTAATCCTATCATACTGGCTGTTTCTGGAAAAATGGAAATTTCCTTGAAAAAACAATGCTTTCAAACAGAACCTTAAAACATTCCAATTTCTTATTCTGAGATTTTCGTTTATCCTTGTATTTTGCTAAAAACGTATGTAAAACTGAATAAACAAGGATCCTTGAAATAGTATGTTTTTATTCACTGTATAATTTATGCACTATACTTGTGTAGATCCCACCCTTTCAACAACCCAAGTCCAGTCCATCTATATATTCACTAATGACAACATAATGTTCTATTCATTCATGGATGTATCTTGAATTAGCAATAAGTTGATTTCTGAAATGATAAAGGGTAGCATGCCTAAGTACTGCATATATATGACAAAGATACAAGATTAGCTATTCATCAAAAAAAAAAAAAAACTGACCTGTCGTGCTTGTTCTTCATTCAGCTTGGCAACCCGAATTCTCTCAGTTGACAATTCTATTTTCTTTCGCATGTGTTCAAGGGCTGATATTGAACGGAAGCAGCAATGATCTCTCAGTTAAAATCAACAAAAGATGAATATCCTTAGAGGAAGTAGGAATACCAAAGCACATACCAGCTTTCTTTGGTCCAGAAGTAAGCTTCATTTCCATTGTAAGATTTCCCAATTCTCGTTCAACATCACGAATCTTGGAATAATTTTCTTCAATGTATCTAGGCAGATGTACCGGAGATTTTATGAATATCACCAAATTAGAAAAATTAACATCTAAAGATAACTAATACAATTTCTAGATATCCAACCATTATATAGCAAAAATTCTGATGCAGTTGGCAGTCATAACGGAATGTGCAATTTAGGGGAGCTATTCAATACTGGGAGTTCGAGAAGGTTATCCAACTGCGTCCTATGCTTCAAAGAATGAGGACTGGGGGGAATTCAGACAATACAGTGGTACAGAATGGAGTTGGAGAAGGAAAATTCACCGCCGTATCTCGTAATGGAAACAAAAGTGAAGGTTTCCACTTTCTGTGAGGGTTACATGGGATGACAGGACCTGAAAAAACTGACTTTCTTCATCTAAAAATTGCTAATAGTATTAGGATGTTTCGTGCATCAGACTTGTATAAATTACAGATTGGATTTTAGACTGAATTGTACCACTGGAAGTCATTATCTTGTATCTTCCAAGTATGAGTTTTTCCCCTTTTCTTATTCAATAAATTACTGATTTAATAAAAGATTTAGAACCTCCACAAATGAAATGTATATGGTCTAGCAGCACATCAACTGGCATATAGATTCATGATTGATGGCTATGTGTAATGGCAAGATTTGATATTGTATCTATTTCTTGCAACCTTGTTTTGGGGCTGCAACATAAAACTGAATTTCTTATTAATCCACCGTGCAGGTAATTATTTCTCACTATAAGCGAGAAGTTCCAAAGATAGTAATCTTCATTAAGTTCATCCTAAATTTCTCCACATACTTTATTATTATGAAATAAAGAACTGTTTTACTAATTTTTCAATATGAAAAGCAATTAAACGTGCCATTGGAATAAAAATGCAATATAAAATATATATACTCATATATTAGGTGCAAGGGACCTCAATTACTGGCCTGGTTTCTTCGGTATCTCCCTCTCTCTAATGCGCACACCTCCCTTCTCTATCTTTCCTCTCCTAGTCTCCTGTATTTCTCTCCCTCCACTCATTTTTTTTTTAACTCAAAAGATACTAAACAATATCTCTTCCACCCCCACCCAAAAAACACAAGTTTTGGCCATCTGGTTTCTTCTACTCGTAATTTCAAATGAGCTCAAAAATTTATTAGGGAATTCATTGAACCCCAAAAACTATCAGAAAATCAAAGCAATCCAACATATCCTGCATATCAGTTTTTAAAGTAAAGTGCACTCATCAAGTGCATTTCCTCTGCATAGTTGAGATAAAGGCAACAAACTTTGAAGTAAAAAGAAAGGATAAAAGGCAACAATGTACCAAAATTTAACTGGTAAAAGAAATTTATCATTAATGTACATTATTCAAAAACAGAAACAAGTTAAGAAGGGAAAAAAAAAAAGTCAACTTACTTTCTCAATTGTAGTTGCTCTGCTTCTATTATCTGCAAATCAATGCAACAACAAATATTATGTAACTAATTAATCATTGTACATATGGTGTCTGTGTTGATATTATGAGAAGACCTTTTCCGTGTAGGCGATAATAGGAGATTCTCGGGGAACTCCGTCGGGTCCGATCTCCGGAAGCAACATTGGCCTTGCATTGTCCGCATTCGGACTCGAAGTCGAATTCGAATTCGCAGCCATTTGAATGGATCACACTTAGTGACCAAGCAATCAAATTCTTCGTTCGGTTAATTCGTCAATATGATGATTCAAAATTGAAGATAGAGAGAGAAGACTGAGAAGTTTTAGGCTTTCAATAAACATGGATTCATCAGATGTACCGGTTAATATCTCCGGTGATTTCGCCGGACGGTGACCGTTTTTCTTCTGTTTTGCTGATTTGCGCGATTGTGGAGAGTCAGAGAAAGTAATCGCGTTGTGATTCAGACAGCGCGCCTCGGGAGAGCCTTTCAGAGAACAAAAAGCGTGCTACTGGCTAAGATTTTGGGGATGGCAACGGTTCGGGATCGGTTCGACCAAAATCATAATCACACCATTAAATTTTTGGTCATACCATAATCGCACCATAACCATGAAAGTTGGTTCAGTTCGGCTCGGTTAATATCTTGGTTCGGTTTGATTCGGTTAATAACCACGAAAATAAATTATTTTTTACAAATCCAAACTCCAACCGTCAAATTGAAAAAAAAATATGAAGAAAAGTCAATAAAAATGAAAAAACATGTCAAGACCTTTGAAAAATAAAACACATTAATTGAACATATTTAGAGCCAGTAATTTGATCCTAAAAGCAGCAGAAGGCTGGAGAATTTGTGATTTCATGTAATCTTGGCCATTAAAAAATATAAAAGAAAGACAAAATCAACGTAGATATATTCAATCTGGCTGAAAAACAAATCTTAATAGGTCATTCTTCAAGGCACATAACATGTTCAACTTCAACCGAAAGCATGCTTAATCAAATAAATCCCAAGATCTCAAACATGCTCCATTAAAAAAAGAAAATTAGACACCTAAATCACCTTGAATACTTAAATCGATCTGAAATTGGAGAAACTGGAGAGAAATCAAAACTAATCATAAGGCTATCAATGTTATTCATAAACAAATCTTTATCAATCTTTATGTAATGCTCATTACAGATTCAATTGAAAGATTGCTAAATCAAACGTATCTTAAGATTTTGAACATGATAAATTGTGAAAAATAAAGCTCGGATGCATCATGAAAACTCAAAATTGATCGGAATTGGGGTAATTGGAAAAAAACCAAAACTAATTATTAAACTACCAATGTTAATTGAAAACCAAACTTCATAAATTCTTCTTCATTAACCATTGCAGATTCAATAGAAATACTGCCAAATTAAACAAATCCCAAGATCTCAAATATGTACAATTCCAAAAATTAAACATCAGAATCATCAAGAACACTCATAATCATCCCGAAACTAGGGAGGAAGAAATCGACACTTACGGGAAAGAGGGCAGGATTTTCCTTGTGAGGGATGTAAGGATCCTTCTTCGAGAAAGAGGGCGAGATTTTCGTTGTCGCTTCTCAAAGCTGTCACTATAGAAAGAAAAAAACGTCTCATGTTATCTAAATGCAACGAGAAGCAGTTGAGGAAAGATAGCCCGTCAATTCTTAATCGCCTTCTCAATGGCGAGCGATGATGGTGAGGGAGAGCTGAGGCAGAGCGGCGACGAATTTGAGTGGAAGAGAAGTGGAAACTGTAGGATTACGACATGAGTCACAAGACATTGTTTTAACTTTTAACGTGTAGGTTGTATATTTAAATTGGACTATCCCTGCAGTGGACTAGGTTAAAAACTATAAATAGTGTTAAGTTATTCATTATTGGTTTACTTAATGTTAATTGGGCTAGAATTTTGGGAAGTCCAATTGTCAAAATTGCCCAATTAATTTTGAGAAAGAATGATGGAAAGTCCAATTGAATTTTTTTTAACGGGTAATCGGTTCGGGGCGGTGCACCATCGCTAAATACCATACCCGTTCCTAAATGAAGCGGTTCATTAAAATCAAAATCATAACCGCCTCATTGCACCATCGGTTCGATTTTTTCGCCCCATTCGGTTCGTTTAACCGCGATTTTCGATTTTAACAGTTCGAATTGCCATCCCTACTTAGATGATGTCACAGTTGTAATGTTGTATAAGCTAGGGATTTTTAAAATATTTTTTTTCCAAACTCATTCTTAAATCACGTATTATCCAGTAAAATAATTTTATACAGTAAATTTATAATTTTTTTAAAAAAACTTTTTAACCATACATTCCTCAAAAAATTACTTTTCACACCATCATTTTCAAAAAGAATTAAGCTATTTGTACAACTCGATTGACACAATGATTGACAAATTAATGATGTGAAAGTGTTATAATTGCTAGATTAAATGTGCGCAATGTAAAAGATGATGTACGATTATGTCAAATGTAATTCCAAAGGTGGAACTCCCACACTCAGTTAACAAGTTTACACTTGATTTGCTTGTATTATTGTACTTCATGACAATGCATTATTGTATCCTGAAACTGATTGAACAGGCAAAGAACAACATATTCTGGTAATCTAGACAAATCTAACATCCCAGGATGTTACAAATTTTTTATTCTAGTATAATTTTCTGAGGATTTTTCCTTTCGATTTTTCAGGAATGTTCCCCGTCTACTCGTAAAACTCGGATACAAGCATGCTCGACTGAAAAGAGAGGGTGAAAAGAAGCATGTGTTATTTCTTATGCAGCGGCTTCTGCTATTATTTGTTGGACTGCTTGTTTTGTAGGCAGAGCGGGAATGGCACCATTTTCTGTGACAACAAGGGCACCATCTCTTAACCGCTTCTCATCCTGCAAGAGTCGCATCAAATGTTATACATCTCTAAAAATAAGAGCTACACAGTTCAAATCTGTAGACAAAAAGCAAGCAATAACAGCAATATTCCAGTTTACTCGATCTTGGTTAGATGAATCCTAATGGGTGTGATCCAGCAGAAATGAGGACTTTGAGACAGAATGAGAATCAGAAGGGAACACAAGAGTTTCAAGATAGGGCATGGTAATAAATTAATAATTTAAATTTGACACCCAGCTTTCGCATCCATAAATCCAAAATTAGGCACTACAAATAAATTCTCTTTTCTTTTTCAATACATTACCATATCGAGCAGTCTAATTCACCTTACCAAACATCCCTTAAAGGAATATGCCTGGGGAGATCTGGACATGATGGGGATTGGGAATATGAAACAAAGCTTTAACTTCATAACAAGCATAGATGGGGATCTGAACATGTCCCACCTTTTATAAGAATTATACATGTTAGGCCTCTGACAAAAAAAAAAAAGAATCTGTGACGAACATTTTAAAGATAAGATGTAAATAAATATTTCTCCTCTCTACAATTTTAAAAGCTTTTAGATGAGGCGTTCACGTGCCAGTTGCTTACATGTAGGACTAGTATCCTCATGGGAATAAAGAACATCTATTCTTTCTAGCAAAAGAGTAATTCTAGAGAGAATAATGGAGGATGAGAGCAATGGAAACTCCAGTTCAAGATTCAGAATTTTAGGAAAATGAGTTTTATGATTTCTGATAGTGTTTTATTGTGGAGAGTAATGGAGGATGAGAGCAAGTATGGAAAAATGAAAAATGCAAACAATTACCTGAACGCACTTCATTTCAAATTCAAGAACTTGAAACACATAAGCTTGTTTCTTTTTTTAGTTTTTTTTATTGAATAACCTGGTTAAGGCAGGAAAAAAATGTGTTAGACGATTTTACCTTTCATATTTGAAACGAAAACTGAGTACAGGCATTCAGTTAATGGAAGAGTTGACAGCAAATGAACGAAATGATGATTTTCGCAATGAAATGTGTAAATATGGGTGAAATGCTAAAAATTAAAACGTATGGACGTTTTGTGTTAATTACCTTTTTTTTACCATTAATTAAATATCATGCGTTCCACATGATTAAACCAAAAAACCAAGTTGTCTTTTAAAAGAATTAGCGTAAGACGTACTTTCTACAGGGAAAAAAAAACACTTTCAATTCATAATTTGGTTCGATTAATGTGTTTGAAAACAGTATAAATGACTTTTTACTAGTGATGTTTGCACTCTTTTAAGGGTGTTCCACTGGGGNNNTTATTAATTTAGGCAAATGAAAATTCACTTCATAGGGGCAATGCTTGTGGGTCTTGATAAGTTTGGTAATAAATATTATCAAAAACTTGGAGACAAGTCAAGTGATCATATTCCCTTTTTTTATATTATGAATTGTTGTGTAGAAAAAAACAATTGAGTGAACGAGAATGAGTATGATAAACTTCATTTTATACACTTAATAATATAAAATTTCACTAAAACGAATAATTATTTCTTCTCTGCCTAACCAACAATGAATGGTTGCACAAAGCCCACTTCGAATTGCATGCTAGGCACATTTCTTTTAGGTTTAGTCTAAATGTACACAATTCATTACATAATGGATTACACTCCTTCACATGGAGGGGGGCCCACACACAGTAAAATATTCGTGGACCCCCCTCCATGTGTGAGGGGTGTAATCCATTAGATAGAGGATTGGGTGTACATCTATCACAACTTTAAAATATTCCATTCGAGAACTTGTTCGTTAGTGTGATAGCTCAATAACATCTTACATCACTAAAGAATGTATTTGTTCAGATTAAAGTCACGATGAAATTTGAATACAATCACCAATACATGGAATGTCAAAACTTTATTACGAATAATATCGAAATATAACATGTTAGATTTATCATATTAATATAGCTTTATTGGAATATTGTGAAGAATATCAAAATATAAAATGTCAAAACATTTATAGATGCTCGCAAAATGCTCGATAAAGGTTATAATGTTACAATCACTTTTAATAAAACAGAGAGGTAAACAATTTCATTTTATTTTTTAAAAATTACAAAGATTTTATAAAATTCTTGAGAACACCGAGAGATCATATATCCCGTAACCATGAAATCCTCCTTCGTTGAATTCCTCCAGGACCCTCAAACCCTTTTCTTTAAGTACCTTGGCGAGCTCAATTTGACGATCGATCATGGGATCCCCCTCACTCCCCGTGATCAAGATCTTCCATCCCTGCTCCTTGATTTGTTCCAAAACCTCCGATTTCATTCCCACCATTGGATTACAATACCCGTGATCACGGTCAACGCCTACTGGCAAAGCAAGTTCCCACATTATGTCAGTCGCACAAGGTGGAATCACCTTATCATTGATTAACCTTAATTCTGACGAAGTCCTCTCTTTCCCACCAAAGAATGGTTGTTGCAATATCAACCCTTTGATCTTCACAGGATTGAGATCATCAACACATCCAACCGCACGTAAGCCAGTATGATAGGCTATGTTCCCACCGGCACTACATCCCATGAGATAACACTTTGAGAAATCAGCATATTTTGTTAGCCACTCATCACTGGTGGTTTTGAACCACTGCAAGGCTTCCATGCAGTCTTCATAGGCTGCCGGAAGGCGGTGTTCTGGGGCAAGACGATACTCCATCGACACTATCACTGCTGGTATTTCAATCGCCGCTTTGCAACAAAATTCATGGAACACGGTAGTGGCTGCACTGAGCAGAACCAACCCGCCACCGTGGTAGTACACTATAACCGGTAGTTTCTCGACTTGGTCAGAATCAAATACTTTACGGGGAAGGAATATACGAACCCAAGTTTTGTTTGATTCGTTAACAGGGATGTCCTTAGTTAGGACTGGACTTGAATCACTCGGATTAGAACAAGCAGGAGTGGTGGTAGAAATTTCAAATATACGTGTGATAGACCCGTCGGGATTTCTAACCATGCCCATATAGCCATATGGATCAACATTTGGGTCGATCGGATTCGACATGGTAGAGTGGTGATGCAAATGAGTTGCTGTGGATAAAGACTTCGAAGTTTTCTTGATTATAAGTGAAGAAGCCCTGTTTTATAGAATGGAGCGTTAGAAAATGCTATTATTGCCTTGGATTGATCCATAAGCCATGCGGACTATGGATTATAATATCATAAACTACCAATATTTATAATAATGCCTTGGATTGATCCATAAGCCATGCAGTGATATCCCATTTCATTTAGTCCGGCCATTATTTGAAAACTTATTTTTTACATTCTTATTGTAAAATATACATTCACACAATAAAAATTCCCTATTTTTCAATCACATATCCTTTAAAAATCACTATTCAAACCATTATTTTTTCCAAATAATGATCGGGCATAGTAAAGTTTAAGTCAAAGTCTAAAAGTTGAGGTCAAATTTGTCAAGCGAAAAGAAAAAGGAAATGAAAGACACAAAATGAAAATGTCCAGGAGGTGGATTGTCTTCACATGTTGGACTTTTATCCTCAATATAAACCATCTGAAGTCTTCTTGAAGCAAATTCCATTGAATCGTGAGAGAGAGGGGGGGAAGACACAGAAAACCATTGCTTTCTTCAAAAATTGGTACCAAACAGGAAGTGCAAAAATACTACAAAATCAAGAGAATTAAGTAGTAAAGAAGAAAGAGGCAGAAGACGAATCGCCAAACTTAGGAAGAAGTAAAGGGATTCAAGTTTGGTCTCATATCATTATCACCATTCAACATTGCAAAGTCTGATGCGGCCAAAAAAGACGTTAAGACTAATTCTTGATCTAGCACGATGTTTGCCTCGACAAAAGAACATAAAAACAAAATTATTTTTTATTTGAAACCGGATCATAAAAACAAAAAGATCATCCAAGAAAGCTGTGATCTTGATCAGAATTCAAAGATCTAATAACTACACAAAAAAATTTACCGTACTTCGATACACATGAAATTAAGAAAGAGAAGTAGATGTACCTGAAATGGGATTTCAGCCACGTTGTTGTTATAAGTTTTAATACAATAATCAGCAGTTCTTCAAAGAAAAATGTGAGCTTGGGGCCAAGAAAATTACATAGAGAACACCGAGTAGAGAGAGAAAGAGGGAGGGACGGACGGACGGAGGGAGGGACGGGTGGATAAGGAGAATGAAAATGGGATTCTTTTGTTAAAAGACGGGTGAGTATTTTAATAAGAGCTCGTTTGGTATGGATTTTTTGGGGGGAGAATTGATTTTAAATAGTGATATGATGAGAAATGTGTGGTTGAAAAAGAAAAAAAAATTATTGATGTGATGAAAAATATTATTTTATTAAAGAATATGTGGTTGAAAATGAAAATTGATTTACTGTAGAAAATGAGAATCTGTACCAAACAGACTCATATACTTTTCACTTATCCGCACTAATAGAATAAAAATTAAAGTGCGGCTAAGGACTAAGAAACATAAAATTNTTTGTAGTGTTACGGTGTACTCTTTTTGTAAAATTGAAAAATGATGGTGGTGTTATGTTACAATGTACTACTTTTGTCATTTTGATAATCAAACTATATATAATGTTTGGAAAGAGAGATTATGTAATTGTCTTAGGCTCGATGAAGCCATAATGGCAGTTATACTGTTTAACGACAGTTGTGTCGTTTTCTTTTTTCTGGTGATTAAGTAATGAGCATAACTCTCAAATGTTGTAACCGGTGTATTCATCTTACAACTTAAATGAGTTTAGCTTATCATTATCGTGGCTCGAACGGGTCACTGCTCTTCATAATCGTGTTTAGAGGCATAACGACACTTGTGCCATTTTCAAAACAATAACGATAGCTGTGTCGTTTTCTTTTTTTCTCTTGATTAAATAATGAACATAAATTTCAAATGTTGTAAGTGGCATGTTCAGACTGCAGCTTACATGAGTTTGGCTTATTATTATCGTGGTTCGAATAGGCTGCGGCTCTTCATAATAGTGTTTAGAGGCAGAACGACACTTGGGCAGTTTTCAAAACCGAAACGGCAGTTGTGTCTTTTTTTCCTCTTGCTTAGGTTATGAACATAAATATAGAATTTTGTAAGTGGTGTGTTGAGCATGCAACTTAAATGGATTCAGTTTATCGATTTTCATAGTTCGGACGAGTCGCGACTCTTCAAAATTGATTTTAGTGGCAGAACGACACATGTGTCGATCTGTTGATTTTTTCAATGTTTTACTACTTTTCAAGGTAAGGACATCAAGGATTGGACCCCCCAACCTAAGAATGACGAAAATATTGATTGTGTAACAACTAATGGTGGAATTGATATAAAATATAAGGTATGAAACAGTGAAACACAAGTCTTAGTCTAGATTCGTTTGAAAGTATAATTAATGGGCATATATCAAGAATTTTGTAAGTGGCGTGTTGAGCCTGCAACTTAAATGGGTTCAGTTTATCAATTATCGTGGTTCGGACGGGTCGCGACTCTTCAAAATAGATTTTAGTGGCAAAACGACACATGTGTCGTGAAACGACACTTGTGCCGTTCTGTTAATTTTTCCAATATTTTGTTACTTTTCAAGGCAAAGACATCAAGGATTGGACCCATCAACCTAAGAAGGACGAAAATGTTGATTATTTGACAACTAACGGTGGAATTGATATAGAATATAATATATGAAACGGTGAAAACACAAGTCTTAATCTAGATTCGTTTGAAAGTACAAGTAATGGACATATCTCAAGAATTTTGTAAGCGACGTGTTGAGCTACAACTTAAATGGGTTCAGTTTATCGATTATTATGGTTCGGACGGATCGCATCTCTTCAAAATTGATTTTAGTGGCAGAACGACACTTGTGTCGTTCTGTATATTTTCCCAATATTTTGCTACTTTTAAGGCAAAGACATCAAGAATTGGACCCCCCAACCTAAAAAGGACGAAAATGTTGATTATGTAATAACTAACGATGGAATTAATATAGAATATAAGGTCTGAAATGGTAAAAACACAAATCTTGGTCTAGATTCGTTTGAAAGTAAAAGTAATGAGCATATCTTAAGAATTTTGTAAGCGGGGCTTTCAGCCTGCGACTGAAATGGGTTCCGTTTGTCGATTATCGTAGTTCGGACGGGTTGCGGCTCTTCAAAATCGATTTTAGTGGTAGAACAAATGTGTCGTTCTGATGGTCCAGTAACGGCAGAAGTGTTGTGCTCGTCTAATTTCGTTTTGCAAACGTAACGACTGTTCTGTCGTTCTTTT